AGGAACATGATAAGATAAAAGTTTAATGAAAATAAACTATCCCGCGGACCCCTTTTGAATTACTCCTGGACCCCCGGGGGTCCGCGAACCACAGATTGGGAACCACTGGTCTAGATAATGTGGGACCCTCAACGTCTCTCAACCCTATGGGCCTTCATGGCCTGTTACAGGGATAGCTTTACTTACTTTACTCTACTTCTTTTGGCTTATTTTGGACTTCACCCATCGTCTGGTATATAACAGAAAAAAAAAGCACGACGTTTCGGAGACTGGATCTGTCTCCGTCTTCAGGTGGATAGGGAAGGATAAACCTACTCAGTCGGACTCCTTAGAAAGAGTTAGTCTCAATCACTGGACCAGTCTCCGAAACGTCGTGTTTTTTTTTTTTGTCTTTTATATACCAGACGATGGGTGAAGTCCAAAATAAGCCAAAAGAAGTAGAGTATACACCATCGTCAGAATCCTTTCAAGTCAATCTTACTTTACTCTGTTATTCAGGAGAGGAGATAACTGTTGCCGGTGTTTTTAAGACTTTGTGAATGTGTCAGCATTGGGGTGCGGTAGACTGAAATGTAGGCTGCCACCCTGTTGTATTTGTGATTATAGTCAGTGGCGGCATGTTAGGGGTCAAAGCATAGTCTTATTGAATTGTCATTAACAGTTTATATATTTATGTAAACATAGTAACATTCCAATAACTTGAGCTTGTAACATTAGCATATATTCTTATTCGATGGCGTTTTTTTTCTCGGTATCCTGAGATGAGTCCTGATTCCGAATTTCACATTCCGCCCCCGTATGTAATGTTTATACCAAGTTTACTGATGCCGATCTTAAGTGATGTGTTGTGTCTATACAGCAGTGTTAGCGTATTGCTTGTTTCATTTAAGAATCTTACATCCTCTTCGTACGCATGGGAATTGTAAATCTCCCTGCTAATTTATGATCATCACTCACGGAGCTGAGCCCTTCTTCAGAAGCCGCCAATTCTGCAGCTACTCAAGAATTTCCCAGCATTTTATGGAACCCGAAGGTTCATGACTGTGTTCACAAGAGCCATCCACTGGTCACTATCCTGAGCCAGATCAATCCGATCCGTACCATCACATCCTCTCTCTCTAAGATAAATGTTAATATTCATCCTCCTACGTCGTCGTCTTCCCAGTGGTCTCTTTCCTTCTGGCTTTCCCACCAATATCCTATATGCATTCCTCTTCTCCCATTCGTGCTACATGCCCTGCACACCTCATCCTCCTTGACTTGAGCATAGTAATTATACTTGGAGAAGAGTACAAGTTACGAAGCTCCTCATTATGCAGTTTTCTCCAAACTCCTGTCACTTCATCCCTCTTCGGTCCACATATTCTTCTCAGCACCCTGTTCTCAAACACCCTCAGTCTATGTAAGATTTGAGGCTTTCACGGCGGTGACTATGAAGAAAACAGTCTTCTGGGATTTGGCACCGTGTATATGTGGTGTTAACCGACGTTTCGGAGGAACGTATCGCCTCCATCTTCAGGGTAGAAGAAAAATATAAGAAATCTGCAAGCGAAGAGACCGTGANCATTACCCGAGTTCAATCTCCTCTTAATTTCCTCCTGAATCAGGTTTCGATCTGTTATCGTCCCCAATTATCTGAACTGTGCCACATTTCCAAAACATCTGTTACATATCTTTATGTCATGATTTTGCCCTGCATTTTGGTGACGAGACAACAAACAGTATTGTTTATTTATCTGTAGTTTGTTTAACGACACTGCCATTATCCCGCACTAAGCCTGTGCAGTGCCTGACGTTAGGCTGATTAGTGAGTAATGAATTGGAAGGAACATGGGAGGAAGCATGATAGAGGCACCATCTCTGCATTTGCGTGGAGGGTTTGTTGAAAACCAAGACAAACTTTAGTCAGGATAGTTGGTGTCCTAGTCAAGATTCGAACCGGGAACCTCCTGAATACAAGTCAGAATCGATACCGCTGGAGTTATATTGCTTAGAATATAAATGGCAAACATGAATTTGTGTCTAATTAAGCCCCACGGCAGAAACAACTTACCTGTGGCTTGGTTTCCCGAAGAACTGCCTTTGTATTGTTGTTAACACAAGCAATATTCGAACTTCTGTTTTGTAGGGAAGCAGATAAGGTCATAGGACAAAGTGAAAGCACATGTGATACCTACACACGCAGCAAGCTTGCTTTTTCGTTCAATGACTTGTGATGTTTCTTGTCTGGAAATGTTACAGGTCTAAATGTAATTCACAGAAATAATTGGAAACTCGGCATTTTAACGTTTGTTAAGTGTGTGTGCTTATGTGGGGGGGGGAGAATGTTATAGACCAGGCATGTCCAACTTCAGACAGGTTGTGATCGACTTTTTAGTGTCAAAACTGCCAGTGATCCACCACCCCCTCCTATCGGTAAGAATAACACGACGCATGATGTTTGTTGTAAAAGCAACATACATTGAAAGTACAGACTACATTAACACGTATTTTCCCTTTAAAATCTGAATATAATCATATTATATTACAAGTAAATTTACATGCTTTTCACGTATAATTTCCATATAGGCCTATGAGATCGACCAAAAATCGTCCCGCGATCGACGCGTTGGACATGCCTGTTATAGATGATATTAATGAATCGCTGTTTTTAATATTACGCCTTGGGCAGATTTCGGCAGATTTAGAGAAATTAATAATTTCGATTACACGTAATTAGTAATAGATAAAGTTTTGTCCACATGTATGATGCAACAGAACATTCCGAAGTAATAATACATTTTGTTTTCAAAATAAATGCTGTGCGTAATCAAGCACAGGGCCAATTACAAATCGCTGCCCATCCAGTTGCTAATTGGACGTTAAGAGCGGTTACGAGTGCATTCGGCTGATGTAATAAAGTGCTTTATGCCGTTCACATGCAGAGCTTCTTGAGAAGGGCGTTTGCCGTTACATCCACGAACTGTGGAACGCGAGAGAAATGACCACAGAACTCGTGTTTTATTGTTATATCTGCCAGTTAGAGTAATGCATTTGTGGAAGCAGGCAAATTGAATTTGCAATCGTCTAGCCGACATGTAAGAAGGTTCTTGGATATGCAATTTTTTCTTTCTTTTTCCATGTTCCTAAGGGAGCAGTCAGAAAATTTGCTTACAAACTTGCGTTTAAGGCCGTTGTTACTACTGGTCGCTCAATAATACTCAGGATATAAATATGAATCACTTGAAAAAACATTTTTTTGTATATTTCCTTCTCTTTTTAAATTTGATTTTTTT